GCACTGGACGACACAGGCAACTCTGGCACTGGACGACACAGGCAACTCTGGCACTGGACGACACAGGCAACTCTGGCACTGGACGACACAGGCAACTCTGGCACTAGACGACACAGGCAACTCTGGCACTGGACGACACAGGCAACTCTGGCACTGGACGACACAGGCAACTCTGGCACTGGACGACACAGGCAACTCTGGCACTAGACGACACAGGCAACTCTGGCACTGGACGACACAGGCAACTCTGGCACTGCACGACACAGGCAACTCTGGCACTGGACGACACAGGCAACTCTGGCACTGCACCTCTCGTCTGCAGTGCTAACATCCGGTCATGACTACTGACAACTATTGTTGTTATTGTGTTGATTTAAAGGCGACGACGACCGTGGGATATGATGTGCCGCTGACAGCTATTGTGTCTGTCTCATTAATACTTCGTTCCATTTTCCAAATGGTGGCTGCAGGGAGTGTGGGCGTGGGGAAGGGGGGGGGGGAGTCGTTACTTGTGGGCGTGGGGAGGCGCGTGTTGCAAAGGTTTACCAGGAATCGGAAGGCCATCTGTTCAACATTCGCTACTGTGGACATGTGTGTATAATTGAATTAATATAAGCGTCGTCTACACTGGCACGGTGTAGGTGCCTCAGGCGGAGAAGAGCGAGGGGGAAAAAAGTCGTTCCATCACAGGCTGCTTAAACATTTTCGTTTTCAATTAAAGCAAAATTTAGTTATAAAGAGTGAACCTGACTATCAATCCTGTGATTAAAATTGCCAGGAAAATTATTATGTATAAGTGAATATATATATATATATATATATATATATATATATATATATATATATATATATATATATATATATTTGTTCTGGCGTAATATTTTGTTCCACGCCGAGTGTTGATCCATAGCTGCTGGACGTGGTATGGCGAGTGCTTGCCATCACAGCTCCCTTGAACCTGGAGAGTAAATAAAGCCCCCTTGACAGGTGAGACACACTCGCTAGAACCCTTGACACACGGACCCTTAACAGCCTTGTATTGCAAGGCTGTAATGCAAAACAACTTGAGCTTGCCTAGTTGTGCAAGCCCACTGAATATCAAAAACAATTTATATACAAAAAGACCATGTTATGATTGATTAGTCTTAGTGGTGATGTCTCTCGTTAAGTCTGAGAAAAAAAAGGCATAATGTTCTCGTCTGTAAAAATAATGTTTGCGTCACATTATACATATATTTGTATACTGACTTACTAGGAGGAACTTCCAGGTGTGTAACAGAGGAATTTTTATGTTTTGAGAACATAAGGAGTTGCTTGTTATACAAGCATTAATTCAGGGCAATGGTGATAAACTAGTGACTTGTTAAACAAGCATAAATTGAGGGCCCGTGAACCAAAAAATAAAAAATAAAAAATACAAATTTGTTTGTGAACTGTGTAGTGAATGATGGACGTAAATAGAGGAGAAGGCCTAACATGCCTCTTACAAGTTAGTAGAACGGACGTCTTGTATAAGAAATGTCGGGCCTTGTATGGAGAGTGATGGTCCATGGTAGACCATGGTAGAGAGGGTATAGCAGCATGTAAACTGTACAGGTACGTAAACCTTGTACAGTGTTGCACAATATGATGTGCATGTTGTTGTGTATGGCTACTGGTCTTTGTACAGACATATACGCAAGTATGGTGTATGATCTGTGTGCGTGAATTGACTGCTGATGAAAGTTGTAAACATGCGAAGCAACCATACACATGTTGTAAACGATAGGAAATAAACATAGATTTATTTTTGCACTTGAATATATTAACGTGGTGTGGTGAGATGACATGGTTCCTACCATGTCATAACAGCATGACTTGGGCTCCTGACCTTGTTATGCGGGCGTTGAAAACGTCGTTTGTTATAAAAGCCTGGGACGAGCCTCCTGCTGTGTCACACAACCATAGATTGAACTCCCAGCTTAACCATAGAGTTTCCTTGCCATCTTGTACAAGCACCGAGGACCATTTCTTTGTTAATAGAATGAATTTTTGCTCATTGATGTACAAGCAATGGACTGAACTCCTCCAAGCAGACTCAAACACTGCACTGTCTTGTTCAATGTTATCTGAGCATGATACAGGGAGGTGGAAGCTTGTTTTTCGATAAAGATACAAGGAGCTCACACAGAGGAAGAAGGCAAGTCGAACTCGCTCTGAACGAAGAGCTCGCAAAACTAACTTTACTAATTGTTAAGCATTCACCTCACATTTTGGATTTGATCATTGGGAGAAAGAGGAAGCTTGCCATTTGTGAGTGGTTGTGGGGCATGGGTGGTCCTGCATGTACAGTTTCTCAACACTAGTACATGTGTGCTAAAAGTTTCCATACAATGAATGATTCTGTAATAGTGTATTATACCATTTCATCGCGCGTATTACTAAATGTATTAATTGTATTTTTCTAAACGAATAAAGGATTTCATTGTGCTGCTTGTTAATAACTCCTAACAAAAATACATTAAATTTTTGAGAAAATACCCAGATAAATATTATGGTATTGATCATAACATGACTTTTATAGAAAACAATATATAGGTTATATAGGCGCTCAAGTTAAGGTGCTGCGGGGAGTACTCTCTGACATACTTCGAGTGTTAATGAACAAATCCACAAGGGCCGTGATGAGGGTTCGAACCTACTTCTGAGAGGATCCCAGACGCTGCCTTAATCGACTGAGCAACGACATGGAAGAGAAATGCAACCGGAAGTTCTACTGACCTACCACGGATCCTGCAGCCTCTCCGAGACACAAACCAGGGTTTTACACAACTCCCCCCGTGCACCTGAGCTCTGCCAATAAGCTGTTCTACCTCTTCGCCCTTACTTCATAACACACAGGGATCACGATAGCGTGATGAATCAAATGAACAAATCGACTTTTGACCATTATTGTTCATTTGATGCATCACGCTATTGTGATTTTTGTGCGTAATGAAGTAAGGGCGAAGAGGTAGAACAGCTTATTGTCACAGCTCGGGTGCATGAGGGGAGTTGTGTAAAACCCTGGTTTGTGTCTCGGAGAGGCTGCAGGATCCGTATAAGGTCAGTAGAGCTTCCGGTTGCAATTCTCTTCCATGTCGTGGCTCAGTCGATTAAGACGCGTCTGGGATCATCTCGGACGTAGGTTCGAATCTTCGTCACGGCCCTTGTGGATTTGTTCATTTGATGCATCACGCTATGGTGATTTCTGTGTGTATTGGAGTTGTAAACTTTGGTTTACAAGTTTTGGTAACATTGAAGTTTACACTTTGGTTACAATCTCTCGTTGTAACATATATAGATATTGATATATTTCTAGAAATCGGGATTTCGAAGCCAACGTCGAATCGATGCGATTCAACATAGAACTAATGAAAACATTGAATGTACGTTAATTCAACGTCACTGCGACATTAAATCTGCGTTATTTCGACGTCAATGCAACGTCAAATGGACGTACATACAATGTTGAATTCATGGGGATTAAAAATAGAACCAAAACCAACATTTAACTGACGTTTATTCGACGTCAAATTAACATTGAATCGACGTCGAAGCAACGGCACATTGATGAGGATTCAAAACGGAACCAACGGGAACATTGAATTGACGTTTATTCAATGTCCAATCAACAGCAATTCGACATTGAATCGTCGTGGATTGAACGCCGAATAGGCGTCGAGACGACGTCAATACAACGTCGAATCGACGTCAACAACGAATCGGTAGTGATTCGAAAATGAGCCATAGTGAATATGTTTATTCAATGTCGATTCGACGTTAGTTTGACATTAATGCGACGTCTAATTGACGTTAATAGAACGTCAATTCAGAGTAGAAGCAATGCCAACATTGAACCAACGTTCATTCAACGTAAACTGTCAATTCGACGTTATTGTGACGTCAAATGGACGTCATTTCGAATTTGAATTAACGTCAATGCAACGTCGAATCGACGTCAACGTAACGTCGAATTGGTGGTAATTGAAAACGCCATTGCGCGTAGTGAATTATATTTATTCAACGTCGAATTGACGTCAGTTTTACGTTCATGCAACGTTGAATCAACGCGAATGTAACGTCAAATCGAAGGTAATGCAACGTCTAATTGATGGTGATTCAAAAGTAGAACCAATGCAAAACTTGAATCGACGTCAATGCGACATTGAAACAACGTTATTCCGACATTTGGATGACGTTAATGCAATGAGGAATCTATGGCATTTTAACCACAGCACCAACACCATCAATAAATCGATGTTCACTCATCATGAATTCGAAATTGGATCCACGTAAATTCAACGTAGTATCGACGTCAATGCAACGTCAAATTGACGCTATGATGAATCCCATGAACCCACGCCAATATTCAATTGACGTTTAACAAATTCTACCCTCAATCCACATCAATATAACGTCGAATCGACGTCACTGCAACGTCAAAAAAAACAAAAAAAATTATCTTTTATACGTCGAATTGACGTTTATATCTCCTCGTCGAGCCACGCGTTAATAATAGGCATTGTAATGTAAATTGTAAATTGTAGTACATTGTAACTTAAATTGTTATTTAAGTTAAACGTCTTATTTTAATAACTTATACAGTATAAAGAAAATTTACATGTAATTTTTTTTCATCGTTTTTGCATTAATATCAATTTCTGCCTCTCGAGAATATTCATTATTTCATATTAGTCTTAAAAAGAATACATTTTTTCCTATATTTTCATGCACAATTTAAGATACACGTTAGTATTACAATAATTGTTAACACTGATATTTTAATATTTCTCAGTTCCTATACCATTTAATGGCATCAAATTTTCATAGAGCTCATTAATCATCCACTAACCCCCCCCCCACCTACATTAAGCAATATTAAATATATCCCTCGGGGCTATATTTAATATCAATAAAACTACCCAAAGCTGTTTGTGCTTCACTTTTGGCCTCACCTTAAATGGCGCTGAAACTTGTGATTATTTTAAGTATAAAGGTCTGGGACACTTGAAGACTCCGGCCGATGAAGGAATTGCTTCAACATGATACATTGTTTTGGAGTGGAGGAGGTATACCTGGAGGTGTGAGCCTGGAGGAGGTATATACCTGGAGGTGTGAGGCTGGAGGAGGTATACCTGGAGGTGTGAAGCTGGGGGAGGTATACCTGGAGGTGTGAGCTTGGAGGAGGTATATACCTGGAGGTGTGAGGCTGGAGGAGGTATACCTAGAGGTGTGAGGCTGGAGGAGGTATACCTGGAGGTGTGAGCCTGGAGGAGGTATATACCTGGAGGTGTGAGGCTGGAGGAGGTATACCTGGAGGTGTGAGCCTGGAGGAGGTATATACCTGGAGGTGTGAGGCTGGAGGAGGTATACCTGGAGGTGTGAGGCTGGAGGAGGTATACCTGGAGGTGTGAGGCTGGAGGAGGTATACCTGGAGGTGTGAGCCTGGAGGAGGTATATACCTGGAGGTGTGAGGCTGGAGGAGGTACACCTAGAGGTGTGAGCCTGGAGGAGGTATATACCTGGAGGTGTGAGGCTGGAGGAGGTATACCTGGAGGTGTGAGCCTGGAGGAGGTATATACCTGGAGGTGTGAAGCTGGGGGAGGTATATACCTGGAGGTGTGAGCCTGGAGGAGGTATATACCTGGAGGTGTGAGGCTGGAGGAGGTATATACCTGGAGGTGTGAGCCTGGATGAGGTATATACCTGGAGGAGTGAGGCTGGAGGAGGTATACCTGGAGGTGTGAGGCTGGAGGACGTATACCTGGAGGTGTGAGCCTGGAGGAGGTATATACCTGGAGGAGTGAGGCTGGAGGAGGTACACCTGAAGGTGTGAGGCTGGTGGAGGTATACCTGGTGGTGTGAGCCTGGAGGAGGTATATACCTGGAGGTGTGAGTCTGGAGGAGGTATACCTGGAGGAGTGAGGCTGGAGGAGGTATACCTGGAGGTGTGAGCCTGGAGGAGGTATACCTGGAGGTGTGAGCCTGGAGGAGGTATACCTGGAGGTGTGAGTTTGGAGGAGGTATACCTGGAGGTGTGAGCCTGGAGGAGGTATACCTGGAGGTGTGAGGCTGGAGGAGGTATACCTGGAGTAGTCATCCTGGAGGAGTGAGGCTGGAGGAGGTACACCTGGAGGAGTGAGGCTGGAGGAGGTATACTTGGAGGTGTGAGCCCTGAAGAGGTATACCTGGAGGTGTGAGCCTGGAGGAGGTATACCTGGAGGTATACCTGGAGGTGTGAGCCTGGAGGAGGTATACCTGGAGGTGTGAGCCTGGAGGATGTATACCTGGAGGTGTGAGCCTGGAGGAGGTATATCTGGAGGTGTGAGCCTGGAGGAGGTATACCTGGAGGTGTGAGCCTGGAGGAGGTACACCTGGAGGTGTGAGCCTGGAGGAGGTATACCTGGAGGTGAGAGCCTGGAGGAGGTACACCTGGAGGTGTGAGCCTGGAAGAGGTATACCTGGAGGTGTGAGCCTGGAGGAGGTACACCTGGAGGTGTGAGCCTGGAAGAGGTATACCTGGAGGTGTGAGCCTGGAGGAGGTATACCTGGAGGTGTGAGCCTGGAGGAGGTATACCTGGAGGTGAGAGCCTGGAGGAGGTGGCCGGTGTAAGGAGGTTAGAGAGGCATTAATTAACCTGGTGACTGTGAAGACGAGTTAGCAGCGGGGGATGAGAACGTTGTGTCAAGCTACAAGTAAAGTCAGAGTGTGAGAGTGAAGTCTTAAGTAGTGTAGAGTGTAGGGGGAATCTTAAGAGCTGAAGGAGTTACAGCGTCCAATTGGATCCCTCGATTCCAGCTTACGTCCTCGGAGGAATTTGTCCCGTTCGTGACGATGGAACAAATTTACTTTTTTTCCCTTTTTCCCTTTAAATTCCCCAGGAAGTTTGTTTCGTTTTAAGATAAACATTTATATGATAGTTAACACACACACACACACACACACACACACACACACACACACACACACACACACACACACACACACACACACACACACACACACACTGTTCGTTTCAGTCGGGCACAAGACTTAGTTGGAGATGGCGCAAAAGGTATGGCACCAGTCAATAGTACCCAAAATGAGGGGGTATGAGCTACGAGGAGAGACTACGGGAAGTAAACCTTGACGTCGCTGGAAGACAAGATTTAGAGAATACATGATCATTACACAAAAGATTCTCAGAGGAATTGATACGGAAGATAAATTTAAGTTTAACACGAGAGTTACACGTAAGAGAGGATACAGGTGGAGAGTGAGTACCCAAATTAACCACAGAGACATTAGAAAAAACTTTAGTGTCAGTAGTCATATGGAATTCACTAGGCAGTGAATTCCATATGTCTATATATGGACCATATATGGCAGTGTGGAGGAGGCAGAGTCCATCCACAGCTTCATATGTAGACACGATTAACCGCAGTTGTCTCAGGAATTGGTACATCAGTCGATTGGCGGTAGAGATGAGAGAGCAAAGAATCCAAATTAAACCTTGAAAAGCAGAAATAGACGAGTACAAAGAGTCGAAGAGACATACAGGAAAAAGTACTAAAATGGGCGAAGGGGGTACAGCACCATCAGGAAGAAGGCGAAAATTCATAGTAAGAGAAAAACTATTAGAAAGGAGATATGGAGTGAAGATCCCAAATCAAACATATAAGCTTCAGTTAAATTTATTATTCCAAGCAATTAACCCGCTGGAGGAGGAGTCATCAGTGGGTTCTTGGGGTTCTCAGCTGAACCATCTGGCCTGCACAGAAATAACACACACATTAGGAACAGCCTAAAGAGGCAGGTTAAGGTTACGAGCCTCTGGTTCCGTACACTATAATATTACAACATACGGAAGTTTTCCTCTTGTAAAGACGAGATCTGCCTTAAGACTACCAAACAATATAAAATATCTTAAATATATATATAGAGTCTTACCAAACCATACTTTCTGTACCTTAACAAGATACCAGCATGATTTACAAAGCTTGCCTCCCTTGTGGGAAGGACAGAGTTTAAAACTTAATCCAAAATGAAATACAAGATTTTAACTATTTACTAATATTATGCCGGCAAGAAAGATTAATTTCTAACTAGACGAGGAATCGTCCCTAAAAGTGAACTACAATACAATCCTGTGTCTCCCCAAAACCAAACCAATGCACGATACTTACGTAGTCCACTCCGACACCGAGACGCTGCTCAGAGACGATGAATGGTCAACTACTTGTCGAATTGCGCAAAGAGCCCAATTGGCTCCATTACCGCTCTTGGTGAACTCGGCGAACACCGACGCGATCAGAAAGAAGAATGTACTAACTCTGGTAAAACAGGTTGGTGCACTTCCCGATATTAGACTTGAGCGTCTTGTGTACCGTCGAGGAGGAGGAGGGAGGAAGAGGTGCGTGCGCCCTCCCTGACGTCTGGGGCGACACTGAGGGGTCGTCGTGGCCGCTGTTCATCACATGTCAACAACAACAACTGTCCCGTTGGCAAGGTGGATAATTGGTCTAACTAGGCAATGGTTATGGTAACAAGCACTGGTATTTTCTCCATTAACTTGACGGTCGGTAACATTAGCCCTTCTTGCCACCACAATATACACAAACACATGAAATTAGAAAAAATAAACGAAAAATATTATTTTCTGTATTGAAATAGATGAAATGTTCAGGCTGAACATTTCCTCTATTATCTATATCTATATCTATATCTATATCTATATATATAGCAAGAGAACAAAGGGTCATGGGTGCAAGCTTCAGACTCAGATGGGTCATATATATAGACTAGATTGTTTTTTTAAACGCAAGCATGCGTATAAATACAATAAAACGATAAGAAAACAAACAGAACACAAATCACAAATTACAAAATCACAAAATCACAAAAGTACACAAGTACAAAGACATAAAATACCGGCCTGAAGGTCCGACAAACAAATACCCAACAAAAAAAAGGCACAAACATAATGCAAGACAGTACAAAAACTAACAATAGGACCATACATAGTACCCAAACCCGCACCCAACAACCCAACCATCAAAACAATACGAAACAAGCTTGCCGGCCCCGGAAAACACACACGGAGAGGCACCAAACACACACGGAGAGGCACCAAACACACACGGAGAGGCACCAAACACACACGGAGAGGCACCAAACACACACGGAGAGGCACCAAACACACACGGAGAGGCACCAAACACACACGGAGAGGCACCAAACACACACGGAGAGGCACCAAACACACACGGAGAGGCACCAAACACACACGGAGAGGCACCAAACACACACGGAGAGGCACCAAACACACACGGAGAGGCACCAAACACACACGGAGAGGCACCAAACACACACGGAGAGGCACCAAACACACACGGAGAGGCACCAAACACACACGGAGAGGCACCAAACACACACGGAGAGGCACCAAACACACACGGAGAGGCACCAAACACACACGGAGAGGCACCAAACACACACGGAGAGGCACCAATACATAATGACAAAAAGAAGAAAGAAAACATGAAAATAAAACACATAAACAAATAGAAATTAACAGCGGCAAATTATGATAATGGGAACAAAAAAAGGCATGACCACACAAGCAGCCCAAAGGGCACGCAACCACGCCACAAACAAGGGCACGCAACCACGCCACAAACAAGGGCACACAACCACGCCACAAACAAGGGCACGCAACCACGCCACAAACAAGGGCACACAACCACGCCACAAACAAGGGCACGCAACCACGCCACAAACAAGGGCACACAACCACGCCACAAACAAGGGCACGCAACCACGCCACAAACAAGGGCACACAACCACGCCACAAACAAGGGCACGCAACCACGCCACAAACAAGGGCACACAACCACGCCACAAACAAGGGCACGCAACCACGCCACAAACAAGGGCACGCAACCACGCCACAAACAAGGGCACGCAACCACGCCACAAACAAGGGCACGCAACCACGCCACAAACAAGGGCACGCAACCACGCCACAAACAAGGGCACACAACCACGCCACAACAAGGGCACGCAACCACGCCACAAACAAGGGCACACAACCACGCCACAAACAAGGGCACGCAACCACGCGACAAACAAGGGCACGCAACCACGCCACAAACAAGGGCACGCAACCACGCCACAAACAAGGGCACGCAACCACGCCACAAACAAGGGCACGCAACCACGCCACAAACAAGGGCACGCAACCACGCCACAAACAAGGGCACGCAACCACGCCACAAACAAGGGCACGCAACCACGCCACAAACAAGGGCACGCAACCACGCCACAAACAAGGGCACGCAACCACGCCACAAACAAGGGCACGCAACCACGCCACAAACAAGGGCACGCAACCACGCCACAAACAAAGGCACGCAACCACGCCACAAACAAGGGCACTCAACCACGCCACAAACAAGGGCACGCAACCACGCCACAAACAAGGGCACACAACCACGCCACAAACAAGGGCACGCAACCACGCCACAAACAAGGGCACGCAACCACGCCACAAACAAGGGCACACAACCACGCCACAAACAAGGGCACACAACCACGCCACAAACAAGGGCACGCAACCACGCCACAAACAAGGGCACGCAACCACGCCACAAACAAGGGCACGCAACCACGCCACAAACAAGGGCACGCAACCACGCCACAAACAAGGGCACGCAACCACGCCACAAACAAGGGCACGCAACCACGCCACAAACAAAGGCACGCAACCACGCCACAAACAAGGGCACGCAACCACGCCACAAACAAGGGCACGCAACCACGCCACAAACAAGGGCACACAACCACGCCACAAACAAGGGCACGCAACCACGCCACAAACAAGGGCACGCAACCACGCCACAAACAAGGGCACACAACCACGCCACAAACAAGGGCACACAACCACGCCACAAACAAGGGCACACAACCACGCCACAAACAAGGGCACGCAACCACGCCACAAACAAGGGCACGCAACCACGCCACAAACAAGGGCACGCAACCACGCCACAAACAAAGGCACGCAACCACGCCACAAACAAGGGCACGCAACCACGCCACAAACAAGGGCACGCAACCACGCCACAAACAAGGGCACGCAACCACGCCACAAACAAGGGCACGCAACCACGCCACAAACAAGGGCACGCAACCACGCCACAAACAAGGGCACGCAACCACGCCACAAACAAGGGCACGCAACCACGCCACAAACAAGGGCACGCAACCACGCCACAAACAAGGGCACGCAACCACGCCACAAACAAGGGCACGCAACCACGCCACAAACAAGGGCATGCAACCACGCCACAAACAAGGGCACACAACCACGCCACAAACAAGGGCACGCAACCACGCCACAAACAAGGGCATGCAACCCCGCCACAAACAAGGGCACGCAACCACGCCACAAACAAGGGCATGCAACCCCGCCACAAACAAGGGCATGCAACCCCGCCACAAACAAGGGCACGCAACCACGCCACAAACAAGAGCACGCAACCACGCCACAAACAAGGGCACGCAACCACGCCACAAACAAGGGCACACAACCACGCCACAAACAAGGGCACACCGGAACTCACAGGAACCGGATATATGGAGCACGCGGGAACCCCCCCCCCCCCCGCCCACACACGCACCTGCGCAACCACACTCCACATCCACGCACACAAACGGACACATCCACGCACACAAACGGACACAACCACGCCACAAACGGACACATCCACGCACACAAACGGACACATCCACGCACACAAACGGACACAACCACGCCACAAACGGACACATCCACGCACACAAACGGACACATCCACGCACACAAACGGACACAACCACGCCACAAACGGACACATCCACGCACACAAACGGACACATCCACGCACACAAACGGACACATCCCCACAACACATAGCAAAGAAATAAATCACTTGAAAGGAGAACAAACATCAATAGGAGGTGAATATTTTTCAGGGAACTCATACAGAGGATATTTGTTCTTATAGGCTCCACCCCCACACACACCACTACACCCTACACACACCACTACACCCTACACACACCACTACACCCTACACACACCACTACACCCCCACACACACCACTACACCCCCACACACACCACTACACCCTACACACACCACTACACCCTACACACACCACTACACCCCCACACACACCACTACACCCCCACACACACCACTACACCCTACACACACCACTACACCCCCACACACACCACTACACCCCCACACACACCACTACACCCCAACACACACCACTACACCCATAGGGACACCACTACACCCCTACACACACCACTACACCCCTACACACATCACTACACCCCTACACACACCACTACACCCCTACACACACCACTACACCCCCACACGCACCACTACACCCATAGGGACACCACTACACCCCCACACGCACCACTACACCCATAGGGACACCACTACACCCCCACACGCACCACTACACCCATAGGGACACCACTACACCCCAACACACACCACTACACCCCAACACACACCACTACACCTCTACACACACCACTACACCCCCACACGCACCACTACACCCATAGGGACACCACTACACCCCCACACGCACCACTACACCCATAGGGACACCACTACACCCCAACACACACCACTACACCCCAACACACACCACTACACCCCAGAGACACCACTACACCCCAACACACACCCCAACACCCCAACACACACCACTACACCCCAGAGACACCACTACACCCCAACACACACAAATACACCCCAGAGACACCACTACACCCCAACACACACCACTACACCCCAACACACACCACTCCACCCCCACACACACCACTACACCCCCACACACACCACTACACCCCCACACACACCACTATACCCCAACACACACCACTACATTCCAACGCACACCATTACACCCCAGAGACACCACTACATCCCAACACACACCATTACACCCCAACACACACCACTACACCCCAGAGACACCACTACACCCCAACACACACCACTACACCCCAACACACACACCACTACACCCCAGAGACACCACTACACCCCAGAGACACCACTACACCCCAACACACACCACTACACCCCAACACACACCACTACATCCCCCCACACACCACTACACCCCAGAGACACCACTACACCCCAACACACACCACTACACTCCAACACACACCACTATACCCCACCACACACCACTACACCCCAACACACACCACTACACCCCAACACACACCACTACACCCCAACACACACCACTACACCCCAACACACACCACTACACCCCAACACACACCACTACACCCCAACACACACCACTACACCCCAGAGACACCACTACACCCCCAACACACACCACTACACCCATAGGAACACCACTACACCCATAGGGACACCAATACACCCATAGGGACACCAGTACACCCATAGGGACACCACTACACCCCACAAACATCTCCACATACACCAATACACCCCACAAAGACACCGCACTACTCCACAGGGACGCCACTACATCCCAGGGACGCCACTACACCCCAGGGATGCCACTACACCGCAGGGACGCCACTACACCCCAAGGACGCCACTTCACCCCAGGGACGCCACTACACCCCAGGGACGCCACTACACCCCAGGGACGCCACTACACCCCAGGGACGCCACTACACCCCAGGGACGCCACTACACCCCAGAGACGCCACTACACCCCAGGGACGCCACTTCACCCCAGGGACGCCACTTCACCCCCAGCAACACCGCCATGTTTGGAAGACTTTCACTTGTTGCTTCAACTAAAAGTTTTAAAGGGAATATATGACCTCTCACGAGACCCACTCTTCCCCTGGCAGGGCCCACACTCTCCCCATGGCAGGGCCCCCACTCTCCCCCTGGCAGGGCCCACACTCTCCCCCTGGCAGGGCCCACACTCTCCCCCTGGCAGGGCCCCCACTCTCCCCCTGGCAGGGCCCACACTCTCCCCATGGCAGGGCCCCCACTCTCCCCCTGGCAGGGCCCACACTCTCCCCCTGGCAGGGCCCTCACTCTCCCCCTGGCAGGGCCCCCACTCTCCCTCTGGCAGGGCCCCCACTCTCCCCCTGGCAGGGCCCACACTCTCCCCATGGCAGGGCCCCCACTCTCCCCCTGGCAGGGCCCACACTCTCCCCCTGGCAGGGCCCTCACTCTCCCCCTGGCAGGGCCCCCACTCTCCCTCTGGCAGGGCCCCCATTCTCCCCCTGGCAGGGCCCCCACTCTCCCTCTGGCAGGGCCCACACTCTCCCCCTGGCGGGGCCCACACTCTCCCCCTGGCAGGGCCCACACTCTCCCCCTGGCAGGGCCCACATACATATATATATATATATATATATATATATATATATATATATATATATAAACCAACGCACCAATGATCGTCTGTGGTGCTGTGGTCACGGTACTGTGTACGTTTAGGGGGTGATCCTGGACGGCATGGGTTCGAATCCTGGTCGGGTCAATTAGAGTTCGTAGTGATCTATGGCATGCTTAGTGATATATGAAATATATGTTTTATGATATACAGGTCACAAAGTTTTTCCAAACTTTATTTACTGTAAAGTAGATAAAAGATAATTGTGTACATTAATGTAATACAAGTAATTGGATGCTCACTAAAATATGAAGTGCGGCTCTTGTTATGACAAAATTTTTGTCATTCAGTGAGAATTTTTCGTCTAAAATACGTACTGATTTGTTTTTTCTGGCTGCTTCCCTGCAATAAATGTTCGCGGGCGGTCGACTATGTGTGTAATACAGTAACCTGATGGGATGGTTTTTTGTGTGTATGAAACCATTTTTAGGGGGTCCATTTTGCGGGGTCCGTTTTTTGGGGGTCCATTTTTAGGGGGGTCCATTTTTGGGGGGTCCATTTTGGGGGGTCCATTTTTATGGGTCCATTTTTGGGGGTCCATTTTTATGGGTCCATTTTTGGGGGTCCATTTTTATGGGTCCATTTTTGGGGGTCCATTTTTATGGGTCCATTTTTATGGGTCCATTTTTGGGGGTCCATTTTTATGGGTCCATTTTTATGGGTCCATTTTTGGGGGTCCATTTTTATGGGTCCATTTTTGGGGGAATCATTTTATCTCTTCCATATGGTAATACAAACGCTATTCAGATCTCATATTAGAGTCTCCGCCATTCATGGTAGTCGAGGAAACGGTCCTTGATCAAGGATGTTGTTGTGTGACGGTATTTATCCCCCACACTTCCAAGTTGAAGGTCAGACGCTACGGGCTAGCTTCACTAAATCTTTTGCAGGGTGACAGGTAGTGGTTCAGGGGTGGTCATAGGGCAAGGGGGGGGGGGGGTATGGTCGACTCCCATGCTCCCCCCCCCACCATCCCTCCTTCTCCCTCACTCTGCCTGATAACGACAGTGTACAACGGTGTTATATACGAGACTCCACCCTAACTATAGTTCATCAAGAAAATTAATTGTTAGTTTCTCTTATGTTGTTTAATGATGAATACAGTGCGTAGTGAAGGTGGCTTGTGAGAGGCGGTGGGGACGGGCTGGGCGCTCTCATATAGAGAGTGGAGGGAGGGAGTGTAAGAGGGAATAGAAAGGAAAGAAGAAAGAGAGAGGGGAGAAGAAGAAAGGGAGAGGTAATGAGACAGGTGGATAGGAGGAAAGGTGTAGAGAGAGAGAGAGGGGGAGGGGGTAAAATAGGAGAAAATGGGCAGCAAGGAAAAAGAGACGTAGAAGATAGATATCAAGATGGTTGAAAGGAGAAAAGAGAGGGAAGAAGATAGGGAGAGGAGAGAGAGAGAGAGAGAGAGAGAGAGAGAGAGAGAGAGAGAGAGAGAGAGAGAGAGAGAGAGAGAGAGAGAGAGAGAGAGAGAGAGAGAGAGAGAGAGAGAGAGAGAGAGAGAGAGAGAGAGAGACCAATAGACAGAGACCCGGGCACCTCCGGGTACTCGATCTAAGATATAATGGACCCGAGTGGTATCTGGGTTGTGTACGAAGACACGAAAACTCTTCAAGCTCTTTTCCTCTCAAAATAGCGCTCTTCGGACAACATTGCTGCTCTGCTCTATATTGGTGTAGAACTTTATATATAGAGCTCTGCTCTATATATATTTTATAATATCTGTCAGCGCCAGAGAGCTTTCTATCACTCAATTTATCTCTTACAACTTGTACAATCTATCGCAACATCTTACGACCCACCAGCAACATCTTACGACCCACCAGCAACATCTTACGACCCATCAACAACATCTTACGACCCATCAACAACATCTTACGACCCATCAACAACAACTTACGACCCATCAACAACAACTTACGACCCATCAGCAACAACTTACGACCCATCAGCAACAACTTACGACCCATCAGCAACAACTTACGACCCATCAACAACAACTTACGACCTAACAACAAGAAGCTTGAGACAGATTATCAACAAACACCATCGCCAATGTAAAGCTATAGACTTCATCTCCTGGGTCCCGGCTCTACAGGCCGATAAGCCTACAGACACCACGTCCCCCTCGATCGCTGCTCTTGACCACTTCGGGGTTTTCTCCTCCACTGGAGAATAAATTACACCGCGAGATACTTCTCCAGGGGGGAAACACACCATAGAAATCCTTCCCCCTTGATGGAATGCGAGGAAGCACTGGGAATGCAAATTTTATGCGGTTTTAGGGAGAGCGCAGAGAAGGCGAAGCTTGGACAAGAGAGGAAATTTGTTGCCATAGATCAGATAAGTCTTTCACCGACGTTGGTGAGAGGTGAAGGCGGCTCCAGGTGTCAAACCACGCAGCTTTGGTTTGACTCGATGGCTTGACTGCTTTCTCCCAGGATAGATATATATGCGCTTTAGGTCCCTTTGTTG